GCTTTGTCCAGCCCCCAAAACTAATTAAAGGAGAAATCATACCCATTTTTGCATCCAGCTACCCCAGCCCGATGTACTGTCACTCCTTAGCTCAAAGGATTCTACTGAAGTGGAAAAAATTTGTTTTTACAGGGAAACAATGTAAATTAAAACTGGAAAAGGACAAGAGTTTAGTGGAGGCCAATACAGAGACACAAGTTAGTTTTGTACACAGAAATAAATACTGACCTAATCCAATCAAGTGCAAGAAGAAGATTCGGTAGAGTGTGTGTTGACCCAGGAATGATGCCCTCCAACAGCTATGGACTGAGCAGGGCTCTCTCATTCCCATAAAAAAAGTTGCTGCTAGATTAGAGGTGAGTGGGCTTCCAGGCCCATACAGACAGGAGTGGCTAAAACTGGCAGGAGGCAGGCAAAAGCTTCTAGACAAGAGCTGCCTTTAGGTAACTTACTTTCTTTGAACTACTGCACTTCAGAGCCAGATCAGTGACGCTTGCTGTAGCATTCACATAGGTGGTTCAGTTTAGCAAGGATCTCTCTTTGCTAAAAGTACCAACGCTGACCATGTTGGAAGGCACACTGTCATGTGAGCCCGATTCCGCTCTTACCTTCACCAGCATAAAAATCAAAATCACTCTCTGAGAACAACGGGCTACACTTACACAGGAAGTGAGAGGAGAAGTGGGTCCAGGACTGAGCTCAGGAACCTAAGAAGAGGCCCTTTTCCAAGGCCACAAGCATGGAGAAGGCTACAGGCTGTGTAGATAATAGAGGGCTTTCTATTCTCACACATTCCCCATCTGAACCCTGAGTTTGACTATGGACTAGGATTGTACATTAAATCTTAATCAGGTTTCTGTAGCTCCAGGAACTAATGACTTTTAAAGGGAGGTATAGCTAACTATACTTCCAAGAATCATTCCTAAAAAATATCTTGGATCCTAAAGCATGCTAAAGCTTCACCCCCTGCACCCAGGCCCCATGCCGATGCCCACCTCCCCTGCATCCGGACCCCCACATCTGCATCCAGACCACCCCCCACTGAGCCCCACCTACCATGCATCCAGACCCCTCCCACTGAGCCCCTCCCCCCTGCATCTGGACCCTCACCCCTGCACCCGGACCATCCCCATTGAGCCCCCCACACTCAAACCCCCACCCTGGCAAGTTCCACCCCCCCGCACCTGGACAACCCCAATAAGGCCCCTGCCCCAACCAGCTGCACCCAGACCCCCCACCCCACCAAGCCCCATTCCCCCAGCATCTGGACCCCCTGCCGAGCCTCCCACACCCAGACCCCCCTGCCAAGTCTCAACCACCTGCACCCAGACCCCCCCAACGAGCCCCTGTGTATTCAGAGCCCCTCCAAACCCAGACCCCCACTGTGCCGCCTGCACTCAGATTGCCCCACACACCCCACATCTGTATCTTGATTACACCCATGCAAACCCACTGAATACACACTGCAGTTGCACAGATGCAGCGTAGGAATTGCTCAGACCCAAGGTCCATCTAATCCAATTTTATCTCAGATGCTTCAGAAGAAGCTAAAAGAATCTGGCAAAAGGCAGACGTAGAATACTCTTCGCTCAGGAAGCTTTCATCTTAATCCTTACTAGAGGGAATGGCTGAAGCTGTGAAGCATGAGGTTTTTATTCCTTCCATTTCAAAGCATGATTTCTGCTCCCAGGCTCTCTGTAACTGTTTATGCATGAGAAGGGGAAAAACCCCAGCTTGACTTTCAGATCCCAGGCCAGGTTTGCAGGATTGGCAGTTTAAAAAAGCCATCTCTGTCTGTGTGACTTGAGCAAATGGGTTTTGTGATCAGATGTAACGTGACCATGCCGTGTTATTTTTCATCACTTTTGGGGAGTGAGCTGCTCTCTCGTAGAGGCTGGAGTTGTGTGCGAGGAGTGGACAGCATTTTTGCTATTAATATGCTGTTATTTTTAGGCAGCACATTTTATTTGACTACCATCGTGTGACCCACCATAGTAATCTAGCACCGGATGTATGGTGTAGTGGGAGACTGGGAAAGTGAAACTTTTAATCCTTCCCCTATAGTCTTGACCTCCTGGCTCTTGTTTCTCCATGATGCATCCTTTTCACTCCTGTTTGTATAGGTGCGTAGAGATACATCTGTCTGGCAAGCCCTGCTCTTTGAAACATCAAGATAGAGGAGTCAGCCTGAAGGACAAGTCTTCAGAGCAGTAGAAGGAAAAGCTGTAAAGTTCCTGAGAATAGGGGCTTATGAAAGTGCCTCCAACTAAAACTACAGTATTGACATAGAACAGTCTCTCCCAGGCTTAACAAGGACTGGTGTGGCATCTACTAGTGAAATCTCCTTATGTGCCAACCGGGATAGGATTGGCTATGAGACTTCCTACAATCATTTTTCTACTTTCCCAGAGGGACCGGCACCAGCTGGCACCGCAGGTTGTAGGAGAGCACTCTTGCTGCTGCCTCAGCTGATGGTCACAGTGGTGAGCCCACAGGGAGTCTGCAAGAATTTCTATTTTAAATGCCCCAATCACACCTCCAACTCACCTGTGGCACAAACCATCCCTTGATGAGTGGGAAGCTTAGAGGCTGCCCATGCTTGCTCAAACCCTCCCTTCCCTGACTTGTTTCACAGGCTCTCCAGTCTTAATTAGCACGTATGGCCCTGAATATTAAGATGACCTGTCCACACTGCACATAGGTTGTTTCTTTTGGCCTGTGGCTCACTCTCTCAGCGTATGCGCAGGGTGCCCAGCCATTTGATAGCATCGTCATCAGCCAGGTGGAGAGCCGGTAGCTTGCCAGCAAAATAAGTCAGTGGACACTTGTCAAGGATATGCAACAGTCTGAAGTTGACTACATCTACATCGCGGATCATTAGAGAAACCCCATTTAAAGACACTGGCTGAAACCAGCCTCATGTGAGACAAGTGACATCAGACAGGAGCACAGTACTCTGGTGTTGAATAGCAGAGGGCAAGGGCTGATGTTCTAAGTGTCCAGGTGCTCGCATCCCAGGTTGAGTCAGACAGTTTTCAGTACATATTGTTCTGAGTGCCAACTTTGGCTGCTGTCTTCTTCAAGTGGTTGTGGGACATCAACGGTGTATCCAAAGTCGGGTGGAGGTAAATTGGGTTTGGGTTGTCCCGCAGGCATGGGCCGTTCAGGCTCAGCTGCAGGTGCCATTGACTACAGTAGCCTGCCGTGAGCTTGAGATCATCAGTCAGGACCTCGTCTCACTCGGTTATCAGTCCGAGTTGCTCAGCAGGAGCGGGGATCTTGAACATCCTGGGCATTATTACCACTCTTGTGCGGAGGACGAGATGCGGCCCAGGAGCCTGTAGCAGGACTGCAGGTTTTCTGTCACGACAGTAGGGGCAGTCAGAGATCAGGCTTGGTCACTTCTGACATTCCTACTTTCCTCACACAGAATGCAGTCTGCCCATTGTTTGCTGGGCCAGGCTTTTGCCAAGGACCATGTAATGTTCTGCATTCCATGGTACATATACTGGAGGACCAGTTCCTGGCAGCAGCCAGGGGTCTGTGAAAGCCTGTTGGTCGCAAACTCACTGCAGTCTGGCAGCCTCACATACCTTAGGAGTTAGAGAATTGATATAGCAAAGCAGCCCAGTGTTTGCCCCTGGGTAACTGCAGGCTGAAGAGGTATTATAAAAAAAGGTCAGAATTCAAGCAGTAGGGTCTTCCACAGCTTCAGTCCTCTGCTATGAAAACTCCATTGGACCAATAGCTGGCTCTTTCAGCTAAAGCTGAAAGAGTCCTTTTCCTGCTGGAGTGGTTCTCTGAGTGTTTATCGGATAGTCCAACTGATGTGATTACCAATGGGTAGCTAGAATACAGGAAGTGGGGAGAACACACATCTATAGCTTTGACAGCAGTAGGGGAGTGGAAGGACAATAGTGAGGGAAACACACAGCTCTTGTATACGGGCTGAGCTCTGCAGGTCCTCGCACCTGCGATGCACAGCCCTTATTGCCTAATCTACCCTTTTCAAATTTACATCCCTATGCATCTTACAGCTGCCCTTTCTCAACAGTGGCACTGGAGAACTAGCATGTTTCCTCTGAGCCCCTCCTACATTCAGCTTTCTATGTACACACTCCTCTGCCATTACACACCCATGTTTAAGATTTTTAGGGAGAGGAGGGGTGGCTGTGACTTTTGCGTCCCTGTACAGATGCCACAGTGGGAAGGTAAATATGCACATTAGCTCTGAGAATCAGAGATAGTCGCCTACTGAGCAGTTAAAGAGGCTTCACATGTTTCCAAGCAGTGGTGCTGGAACTTTTAGAATCGGGGTGACGTGTGTTCACGCCCCCCGCTGCTCCCTAGAGCTGGGCCATGGCTCCGGGAGGGGGAGATGTGGACAGTGGTAAGGGGACCAAGGCTGGGGGTGGTTGTGGAGCTCTGGGTGCGAGGTTGGGAGCGGAGCCCTGCGTAAAACCTCGGGGTGTTGCAGTACTGCTCTCTCCCCCCCCCCCGCATCTTTAGTTCCCATGCCTATGTTCCCAAGAGGAGGATGTGTTCCTTCAGTCAAGTTAAAAGTAACACAAATGCAGGCACACTTCTAATGCAGTTCTTCAGTCATCAGGGCATCAAACTGATCATATTTAAAAATCATCGATCTAGCTTTGGTGTAATAAGACAGCGGAAAGCTGATCTCCTGTGGATTCCTGATAACCTATGATGAGCACTTTCAGTACTTAGACCCCCCCCACTACAGACAGGAAACCAGCATGTTTTTCAAATATTCTCCTGCCTCCTGTCACGCTCTGGCATTCTGCAAATCAGAAAATGCACCCCCCCCCCCCCCCCCCCGAAAGCCACAAAAGATTCACCAGGAGTTCCACGCTTACAGTCAAAAATAGGTTTAGTGGAATGTCTTTAGTCACAGCTGTAAGCAGCAATACTGAAAACACTTAGCTTGCACATCTCCATGACAGTACAGAAAGTCTCTTGGTTTGTAGAACCTAATTTTTAAAAAAAAAAAACATGAGACAGTGACATCCTTGCAATTATTCACAGAATGGTTAGATTCCCTTTAACATAATGCTACTTTCCTCCTCCTTCACTTGCATGAAACAACTGAGCTCCTACCTTCGGCAGCTGGCAGTAGGAAACTGTGTTTAAATTATAAATAACCTCATTACTACTTAACTATATATACAAATAAAATGTATTAGCAAGTAGCTAGTTCCAAACTGGGATTCCTGGAATATAGCAAAAAATAGGGTTTGGACATTCAACCTTGTTATAAATCAATGTATATGAAAAAGGGTCATTTGGCAGTTCTCAGAATGCCCTAATTAGAACTGGCTACTTGCCTCTTTCATCATCTTGAAAAAAATCACCTCAGCTATATACATATGTTTCATTTAAATTACACAGCAGCTTTTATCATCCCAGAGCCGCTTCCACAGAGGTCTCCAGCCATCAAGTCAAGTGTGGTATTTCAGGATGATAGGTACTGTAAGAGAGGTAAAAAACAAAACAAGTCTTTAAAACCATACATATACAAACCTAGTATCGATCAGTATCAGAGCTGCAGAAGAGAAAAAGAAAAGGTTACTCGCCTTGTGCAGTGACTGTGGTTCTTCGAGATATGTCCACCTATGGGTGCTCCATTTCTGGTGTGCATGCGCCTTGCAAGCCCTTGATCAGAGATTTTCTGTTAACAATGTCTGTTCAGTCCACATATGCACTCTATACAACCTTGTGCCGCGCTCTGAGTGTGTATAGGGCTGCACGGGCGAACTACCCTCATTTCCTTCTGTATCCGAACGTCCAACAAAAACGGGGAGGAAGGAGGGCAGGAATGGAGCACCGATAGGGAAACATTTCCAAAAACCACTGTTAATGCACAAGGTGATTAACTTTTTATCTTCAAGTGGTGTCCCAATGGGTGCTCCATTAGGTGGCTCCCAAGCAGTATCCTCACCAGGAGCAGGGGGCTTCAGAATCCAGTCCAAGACTGAAGACGGTACAGCAGAACCAAGCACTGCATCAGATCTGATGGCATGGACCAAGGCATAGTGTTCAGAAGAGGCATGCACTAGGGTCCACTTAGCAGCTCTGCATATCTCAGACACAGGAATGTTTCTGAGTAATGCTGTGGAAGTTGCTTGTGATATGGTGGTAGTATCCTTTGGCGTGGCAAAACACAAGCTATATCATAGCAAGCGGTAATACACCCAGAGATCATCTTGAAAGTCTCTGTAAAGAGATCTTGGACCCCTTTGATCTTTCTGCAATGAAGACAAGTATAGGTGATTTCCAAAGTTGCTTGGTTCAATCCAGATAAGAGGCCAATGCTCATAGTACATCTACTGTATGAAGGGAAGTCCCCCGCTCAGATTTATGTGGGTTAGGAAAAGGTACCAGTTGATGAATAGACTGGTTAAGATGGAAATCTAACAGCACCTTAGGTAAGAACTTTGGGTGTGGTTGTAGGGAGACCTTGCCTTTGAAAAATATTGTAAATGCGGGGTCTGCCATCAAGGTTCCAGTTTCTCCAACCCTACGGGCTGATGCAATAGCTATTATAAAGGCCATCTTCATAGATAAGTGAAACAAGGAGCAGGTTGCCATAGGTTCAAATGGAGGTCCCATAAGGTATCAGAGTACCAGATTGAGATCCCAAGTCACAGTAGGATCCTTAACCTAGGGATAAAGATTCCCTAGACCTTTAATAAATCTGAAGGACATAGGGTGCGCAAAAATAGAAACCCCTCTGGTGGGGAATGAAATGCTGATATCGCAGTGAGATGAACCTTTGAGATAAATTATAAACCCTATTTTTAAAATCCAGCAAATAATCCAAGATGGTTGACAGTGGAGACGATTCAGTGGAGATGCACAAGGGGAGTGATGGTGACACCAGTGGTTGAAACTTCTTCTGTTTCTGAAGGTAAGTAATTCGAGTTGACTCCCTTCTACTGTTCAGAAGTAAAAACAGTAGACTTCTACAGTACAATCAAAAAAGCTAACAGAATGTTAGGAACCATTGGGAGATAGATAATAAGAGAGAAAATATCATAATGCCACTATAGAAATCCATGGTATGCCCAAATCTTGTATACCACATACAGTTCTGGTTGCCCCATCTCAAAAAAAAAATAAAATAAAAAAAGATACGTTAGAATTTAAAAAGTACAGAGAAGGGCAACAAAAATGATTTGGGGTGTGGAACAGCTTCCATACAAGGAGAGATTAAAAAGACTGGGACCGTTCATCTTAGAAAAGAGACAACTCAGGATACCATAGAAGTCTACAAAATCATGAATGGTATGGAGAAAATGAATAAGGAAGTGTTATTTACCCCCTTCACAGAACCCAATGAAATTAATAGGCAGCAGGTTTAAAACAAACAAAAAGAAGTACTTCTTCACACAATGCACAGTCAACCTCTGGAATTCACTGCCAGGGGATGTTGTAAAGGCCAAAAGTATAACTGGATTCAAAAAGATTTAGGTAAGTTCCTGGAGCATAGGTCCATCAGTGGTTATTAGCCAAGATGGTCAGGGACGCAACCTCATGTTCTGGGTGTCCCTAAACCTCCAACTGCCAGAAGCTGAGACTGGACGACAGGAAATGGATCACTCAAATTGCCCTGTTCAGCGGGAAGCACCTGGCATTGGTCACTGTCAGAAGACAGGATACAGAGCTAGATGGGCCATTGGTCTAATCCAGTATGGCCATTCTTATGCTCTTATAATTAGTAATATGTGTATTCCTGTTCAGCAGGTGAATTCTAATCCCATGAACCATCTAGGAGACATGCTTGTTTACAAGCATCGTCCACCAGGGAATTAGGTGGGGGTTGGAAAACAAAAATTCCCAGTCCTTCGGGAAACATTTTATTTTTTAACCGCCCCCTTACAAGTTGGCAGTATGGTGGCAGGAGTTTGCCACACATTTGCTGGATCCAGGAATGCTTCATTAATGGGTAGCGCAACCCAAGTGAGTGTTGCCAACTGCAGAACTTCCAGGAGCTTGTGATGTGAGTGTAACTTCCTTGAGAGGTATCTAGAGGGTATCCACCACCCTCTTCACAAGGTTCTGGAATCGACTAACAGCGTCAGTCATCGATGGTGGAGGCACGTCTGTCTCAACAGGAGACAAAGAAAATAGGGGCCTGAGTGGTAGTCTTTTTGTTCGCCCTAGCCTCTTGTCATCAAAGGCCTCCTTGTGTTGGGGGTTTGGTGGAGGAGGCTGTGGGACTCTAGTTTTCTGGTGTGGTGGAGCCAGAGATCTGGCAAATTGCTGCTGATACACTGCCCAAGGATCCCAGTATGGCCAGTAGGGAGGCCCATATGGGAGAAGGGTTGGTACCCAGGACTGATCCCACCATCCCAGACATGGGCAAGGGGCTTTGTCAAAGTATGGGTTCCAGTAATGGAGACTCCTGCACTGATAAGGAGAAGACTGAATGTCTCCTTCATCCTCTGCAACATCCTCCAGTGGGCCCAGTAGAAAAGGGTAGAGAATCCTGCGGTACCAGGAAGCACTCATCATCCAGAGACTGGCATCTTGGTACCGAGAGTCATTTGGAACCCATAAGCAGCAGGGACTCTGGTTCGTCTAACATTGACATGTCGCTGAAGTAATGGAATTCCTGCGGTACTGAGTGGGTCAGTGCTGATGCAGCAGTTGGCTTGGGCAGTACTGTAGGTTTGTAGCATGTAGGCACCAGGGCTGAAGATGTGTACTTTGATTTTGTCAGTACCAACAGAGCCAAATGGGAATGCACTGCTGGCAAGTTTGAAATAGACAGTGCCGATCTGGAGGCAGACGATACTGGGGCCTTGCCGGTGCCGTGTTTCTCTGAAGTGATCTGAAATGTCCCTGCTCCACTAGTACCACAGGAGGAATCTTTCACCTCCATGGTACTGAGTCGAGAGTCAAGACCTCCGACACTGTAGACCTAGCACAAGATCAGGACTTCTTGGGAGCTGGCTGTTTGGTGGGAGACCAAGCTCCTTCCTCTTCAGAGCCTTCCCTGAATCCCCTGAGATCTTCCCCCTCTTAGGCGAGCCATTAGTTGAAGTCAAAGGGGCACTGGATCTGTCTGGAGACAGATGTACGGGGCAGATGTCTCCAGACCTGACTTGGAAGTGAGTCAAAGGGAGCACTCCACCAGTAGCAGCTTCAGTTTGGTTCCCCATTCTTCTGAGCTTTAGATTTTAGAGCCAGGTGACAGTTACACCTTTGGGAGATGTGGGATTCTCCCAAGCAACAGATACATTTAGAGAGGCTGTCGCTGATCGGGATAGCCTACTGACAAGAGAGGCAGTGTTTGAAACCTGGTGAGCCAGGCATGCCCCCAGCCAGGCCAAATAAGTTCCCCAGAAAAAATGGGAGAGGAAAAACTGAAACCTCTCACAGCTGTCTAACTAATTCTGTACTAACAGCAACTAACCCTAACTAGGAACACTACATTAACTAAACAACTTCAAAACACGCTGAGACGGGCACGAGGTGGATATGCTAGGGCTCTTTGTCAGGCCAAGGCAGCCAGAGTGGTGCCCCCGCGCAGCCCTATATACCCTTGGCATGCAGCACAAAGTTGTATAGAGTGCATGTGTGGGCCAAACGGACACTGCTAACGGAAAACCTCTGATCCAGGACTAGGGAGGTGCATGTGCACCTCAAGTGTAGTACCCACACAGACAGTACTTGCAGAAGAACCAGATTTCCTTAGTCAACCAAGGGACCGCAAGTAAAAATATATTTCCTTGTTCAAATCGATGAAAATGGTACAGGGTCTTGTCCCTGTAGCATTTGCGCAGGATGCAAACTGAATCCATTTCCAACTCCCCAAAACAAACCTGATGGGATTGTCCATCAATGTCACTCCAGTCGCTACCATTCCAGCTGTTGGCTCTAACTCTTTCACTTCCTGACTGCATTTCAGCCGGATGAGATAGTCCCTAAGGATATTAGGTTTTTGCTTACTACCAAGGCAGGGCCTTGCATAAAGCTACACCTGTACCACTGCTCCTACATGGATGGGAGAATTTTCTCCCAAGATCAGCAGCAAGGAAGGGCCTTGCTGTTGTGCTGGCCTCCTGGGGTCCCTTGTTAAAACTCGGCCATCCATCTCAAAGGAAGGGTGGAATGACTTCTCTGCCTCAGAGCAGCGCTCTCTCTGGTTATTGTTTATGTCACTGTAGTGCCTAGAGCTCCCATTGCACTAGGTGCTATAGAAAACACACAGGACAGGGAGTTTACACTCTAAATAGACACGACAGGCTAAGAGTGGGAGGGGAAACAAAGGCACGGAGAGGGAAGTGACTTGCCCAAGGTCACACAGCAAGGCTGGTGACAAGGTTTGGAATAGAACCCAGCTCTGAGTCCCAAGCGTATACTCAAGCCACTGGCCCACACTGCCTGCCAGAGATTATTATACAAGCCCCTTTTGAAGGGAGCTTTGTCTCAGAATAGACAAATTGCCATAGATTACAGGTATTTTCAAACATTTTCTGAGAGAAGGTACCTCAGACCCTTTGGGTCTTCAGTCCATCTCCCTTCAGACTTTGCAAGCTGATCACGGTGCTACGTGCTGAGTTTCCAGGAATAGGGTATCTCTTTTGTTGAGAAAGTGCAACTCCATCTCCTGCCTTGGTAATGGTTATTAGAAGGTCTTTGTTTAAACAAGAAGAAATTTCCCACACACATGCCTGTAATCCCAGCATGGCAGGGGTTCAGCACAGGCAAGGGGAGCCCTTGGTTAAAATATTGGCTGCATGTGACTGAACATCCCTAAGGAGCAAGACTTGGGGTCACTGGCAATTTCTGCTCAAGTGCTACTGATCAGGTCACATGTGGATGGCAAGGAAGTTCTAAGTGTCAATTTTAACATTATTTACAGCAAACAAAATGTTTCAATGTAAAAATAAAACCACCAACCATGCAGGGAAGGGTTGTCAATACTTACTGATGATCACTAGCAAGAGGATGACAGCAACCAAAGCTACAAGGGCCTTCATCTGCAAGAAGAGCGCAAAGAAAGGGAGGAATTACCTTCCTGACATGAGACTACATGTTTGGCTTGTTCTAAATTAAATGAGTCACCTCCCTGTTTAGATCCAGGACAAGGTATCTGTTCCCCTATCCCAGAATACTGTTGATGCCACTCCACAGACCAGATGGAAGGGAGTGTATTTCAAACAAATCACTTTAGCTGACACCAATTCCTAAACCAGCTCTCTGGTGTCTCTTGTTTTAGAAAGCAGAAAATAGAGGGGAGTTTGGGGTAAGCTGCATACCTGATTTGGAAAAAAACACCCCAATATATCTACACAAGAGTGTGTATAGATGTGATCATATACAACATCTATCAGCACTAGAAAAATGTCCCGATACCTCAAACGCCGAGGCCAAAAATGTTCAAGCCTAGGTACCTAAAGTAAGACTCTCCCAAGTAACAGTATCCTGACAGAGCAATGCATGCTGGTACTCATGGTCTCTGCTGGCCTCAGCTCTGGATTCAAGATAAGAGTGGCTGCAATATGCCCCATTTTCATACAAGTTAGATACAAATCTCAGATTCTGGCAATCTTCTCACGTTACTCTTAATAGGACCAAATTTTAAGAACGTGCATTAAGAAATCCACTTTTTCCCCTCTCCATTTACTCACCTTGCACCCTCGCCACCACATCTGTCTTCGAAGCTGTTTGGATCGGTTGCTGAACGCTGTTGCATTGTCTGATAAACTTTCTGCATCACATGGAGAGAGAAAATAATTAAAGGCATAGCAGCATGGGCACATCTAGAAGCACAAACACACCAGAAAAAAAGGCCTCCGGTTCTGCAAATTCACTTATTCTTAAACCATAAACTAGGAAACCAGGGAATATACACAATTGCCAAGTGCTTCTGCATAATTATATTGAAATTCAGCATGCTGTGTTTCATCAACATGCTGAAATTCACTAGCAACACAGTAGAACTTTGCCAACACAAACTAATGACTAGGAGACCGATTATAAATGGTGAATGTATTTTACAAATTGTAAGTGAACAGACAAGAAAAAAAATGGTCTTTGTCAGTTTGCATAAGAGTAGTTTAATTGTGGCAACACCATAAGTATACTAGAAACTATAAAAGTCATGGAAATCAGCATTACAAGACTTGATTGTAGTGTTCTGCAATTAAGCCTTTCTCCTGAAACACAAAGTGAAATTCCCAAGCATTTACAGTAATGAGAATTTTCAGCTCTGCAGAATAGCAGAACAAGAATGAGTGAGGTTCCACAGTAACTTGTAAGGGTCCCAAATACATTATAGCATATAAAGTCAAGTCTTTTATAAGTGGACCCTTCAGGTTAAAAACACAATAGGCTGAAAGAGGGAGAATTAAATTTAAGTTGAAATATCCAGTAGGACTACTAAAAAAAAAAGCAAAGTGCTGCAAGTGACCAGCTCAAGCCAGCAACAGATGAGGGGTATAGAAATCTAGAAGGTATGTGAAGAGAACAGCCATGACATGATGGAGACTTACCCCTAGCTGGGAATGATACTAACTGGGGAGGTGTTGCAAACATCAGCAAGGTCAGAAAAACTATACAAAGGGACCTACAGAGGTTAAACATCTAGACAGCAAATAAAATGAAGTTTAAGCTGGCAAAATGCAAAGCCAATACATCGAGGGAATACTAATCTGAAATGCAGCTATTCGGGGGAGGGAGGATCTCTTTCAAGACTCCTGCCTCCCCAGAGAAAGGGTAGGGGCAGAGAGCCGGTAAACAAGAACTTACAGTTCCAATTTAAGGGCAATGAAAGTCAATGCAGAGGTATCAAGGGCAGATTTACAAAGGTATTTAGGCACCTTGCTGCATCTTTAGGCACCTAAATATCTTAGTAAATCTGGTCCCAAGTCATGACCCAAGTTGATAACAGTGTTTTATATAGGACTCTGGTGAGATCGCATATGGAGCACAGCACACAGGCTGAATACCAGCAGGCTGCCAAGTCTTTACTCCTGGGAGAATTCTGCGCCACTGCGCATGTGCAGAATTCATGTCCCCCACAGATTTCTTTGTTCCCCAGCAGAAAAATGACTTTCTGATGGGTAAGCAAAGGGAAGACACAACAGCGGTCATGTGACCCTCCCCCGGAGTATGTTTTGGGTGCCCAGGACAGCCAGCAGAGAGGTAAATCACTGTGGGGCAGGGGGCGGGACTGGGGAAGGCCTAGCTGGTGGCTCCTACCCTGTGCCAGGCTCAGCTGCTAGTCCTGGCTGGGTGGGGGAGGACAGGACTTTCTCTTTCCCTGCACGGCATCCAGGGCTGGGTCAGACCCACCCCCAGATTTCTCCCCAGGCTGCAGGAAGCTCTGCAAACTCCCTCGCCTCCCCCTCTCCCCCGCTTCCTGCACCCATCACTCCTCAGCTACAGGGGGAGGGATCACTGTACGGGGAACTGCTCCCCCATCCGCCCAACCCCCTGCATCCAGACCCCCTCATACCCAGACCCTCCCACCGAGCCTCAGGCCCCCAGAATCCCACCTGCTGAGCCCCACTCCCCCTGCACCTGGACCACCCTGATGAGTCACCTGCACCCCCACTCCACTGAGCCCCAACCAGCTGCACTTGGATCCCCACCCCACTGAGCCCCACTCCCTCAGCATCTGGACCCCCCCACGGAACTCCCCACACCCAGACCCCCCTGCCGAGCTCTCTCTCTCTCTCTCACACACACACACACACACACACACACACACACACACCCCTGCTGAGCCCCAACCACCTTCACCTGGACCCCCTTGCAGAATCCCATTACCATTGTACCCAGAACCCCCCAACAAACCTCCAGATCCCCCCCACACCCAGATCCCCCATTGAGCTTCCCCACACAGAACTCTCACCCTACACCTGGATCCCCCCACACTAAGCCCCTCCACACTTGGAGCCTGCCTGCCCACACCTAGTGCACCTGGCACAGATGGGCAGGGCCCTGGGGTATTTCTGGGGCAGGCCCAGTCCTTGCGCTGTTTCAGGGTCAGGAGCAGCCTCACTGCTGAGTCCGTGTCCCGGGGGGAGCTGCAGAGTGATCTTCCACCTCTGTGCAGCCAATGGCCTGTGCTCCACAATGCCATGCTGGAGCCTCCACATTTATTTGACAAATAAAATTTGCAGAATTTTAAAACATTGTGCACAGAATTGTTTATTTTTTGGCGCAAAATCCCCTCAGGAGTAACAAGTGGAGGGAACATAAAGAGCAACTACCCCAAGTGAGGGGATGGAAGGAGCGATGGACGAGGAATATTTAGAGAACTATTCCTGGGCTGTAAAGAGATGAAGTCGGGGGAGGAAAATGATACGCTGCAAGTTATAAGCACCAAGGGAAAGAAAATGTTTAAGGAGGCTCAAGGAAGTACAGGGATGAAAGTGGAAAAGGGGACACTTGGCTTCCCAACAAACAGACAGTAAGATTGGCAGTCTCAGGCTGGAAACAGCCTCCCAATGGAAGTGGTGTATCCATGGAGACACTTCAAATAGAGGTTTGTCCAGATTAGGATATTGTAGGAAACAATCATGCCCTGGGCCCATGAGAAAATGTGCTTTAGCAGGTCATCGTCTCGCTCTGATTTCCAGAATCTGCTGTCATGAAATGGAATCAATCTAACACCATTGCCCGGCAGAGAGGGATGAGGTGTACAGCAAAATAGCCACAGTCACCAGGGGAAAGAAGAGGACTTTCAATCCCTTCACTAAGGTTATTCACAGTGGTGTTTTAAAGCTGCCTAGAGGAGCATGCTGTTTCCCAGGACTCAACGTGAGGGAGGGGAGGCAGGAAGAGAGTTCTAGAATATTATTAAGTATTCCCACCTGATTTATCCTGTAAGTCATCCAGTCTCTCTCCTCTTTCAATCACCTTGGTGATGTTCTCCTGCATGACATCAATGACTTCATCCACCTGGTTCTGGACACTAGAGGAAAGTAAAGCCATTAGAAATCACACAGGCCTAACAGTAGCAGGTGTTATGGACTCTATATTCCATTACCGGTGCTTCGGTGAAAGCTGTTTGCACTGAAAGAATGAGCAGCAGTTCACCAATGATACAGACAGACCCAATAGCGGAAAGGTCATTGTGACATTTGAGAAAGTCTGTGGTGGGCAGGATTAACCCTGCGTGTGATGCTGTTCCAGGAGATAGGTGGGTTCTCTCCATAGCGTCATTTACTCTGCAACACTTTCTCATCCTCACCCCACGCTCAGGCCAACTGCCTGGAAAGTTGGAGCAATATGTTTATAGATGAGGAATAGTCTCGGTCCATGAACTCAAGGGTGATTTTTCCTGGCTAAGGATATTAGCACTTTATTCTCCGAGGAAAAGGAAGGAGTTTTAATAGCATTTTGTTGCTCTTGCAGTTCCTGCCATATTGTGCTGTTTGACTTTTCTAATCCAGCTTCAGATCTCTCAACGTCAAGAGTTTGAGCTAGAACCTAGCTCTGGTTTCCCTGCATTAACCTCCAGGTCTCCTTCAGGACTCACTCCACACTGCAGAGGGGTATGGAAGTGGCTCAGTCTCTTAGATTGGGATTTTTAAAAAGGGGTTTACGGAACTATGTACCCAGCTCACTGAAAGTCAGTGTGAGTTGAGTGTCCATCTGCCTTTGTCTTCCTATCAAAAGGAGAGCAATGAAATGGAAGATCTGAAAGCATTCTCAATACCAGAGTCACTTTTTCAAACAATGTTGGGAGAATTAATTAAATCTCTTCTATCTTTGCTATTGTTGGGGTGCTGTGATTTGGCAGGGACTGAGGACATCTGTTAGTTAAGTGTGGCCTTTTAAAGATCTTGTCAAAGATGCGGAGAGCTTGGAATGGAGGCTCTTTTGTGCAGAGTAGTACGTTTCTTTTGTTTTATACACCTCAGTCACTATGTCCTTTCTGGAGTGCTAAACCTCAACACAGGGTTGTTAAATAGCCTGGGGATGAAAGCATCAGGAGGGTGTTTCCCCAAGGAAGTCTGCAACTGTATTTGAAGAATCAGTTGCATTTGCCCAAAATGTGTTCAAACAAATTTCAAAGGAACAGATGAAGTAAATTAAGATGAACTATCATATCCCAGCTTCTGAATTCCATATCAGAGGTTAGTCAACAATACAGGTAGTTATTTTGCTGCACAGTAACCAGGTTCAAATCCCTAAGGCTACTGCAAATTCAGAAGTTAACGGACAATGCCATAAAATAACACTCAAAAGCCACATATAACAAAAGTACTTGACTACATTTTGGAGATAATGCACGTTTGTCTTTACTGGAGATGGAAATCAGAAACAGCTTAGGGCCCCTGCAATATAATAAGAACGGCTATACTAAGTCAGACCAAAGGTGCATCCAGACCAGTATCCTGTCTACCGACAGTGGCCAATGCCAGGTGCCCCAGAGGGAGTGAACCTAACAAGTAATGATCAAGTGATCTCTCTCCTGCCATCCATCTCCACCCTCTGACAAACAGAGGCTAGGGACACCATTCCTTACCCATCCTGGCTAATAGCCATTAATGGACTTAAACTCCATGAATTTATCTAGTTCTCTTTTAAACCCTGTTATAGTCCTAGCCTTCACAACCTCCTCAGGCAAGGAGTTCCACAGGTTGATTGTGCGCTGTGTGAAGAAGTCATATGAAATGTACTGGCCTCATGGGACAATGGCAAGAACAGTTGTCTCTGAGGCAGTAAAAGCTAAGCATTGGACAAAACCACCGTTTTCTTCAATGCAAGTAGGTTCTAGGCTCTTACTCTGGTAAGATTATTTTGTTCAGTTTCTTCAACTCATAAAATGCATGGATTGAATATATATCAAATGCCTTGCGTATACTGAATCTGCATAGTTTGAAAAGCTGATGTAAACATGAGAAGGAGAAAAACTCTAGCCATTCCCACATATTCTTGGATATACGTGTCATGTACTAATGGAAAAGGTCCAATGCTTTCCCTATGGCAAAAGATATATCAAAGAACATTTCCAATAGCTAATAATTCACGCTTCCTTAGCAACTACAATCTGAGAATCTCAAAACACCTACCACCAATGATTTCATCCCTGAAACACGGCCATGGAATAGGAAAGTATTATCCCTCCCCATTTCACAGATGGAGAAACTCAGAAAAGTGACTTGCCTCAAGTCGCAGAGCCAGGAATAGGCCTAATAATAATGATACCACCTAGCTAGCACGTATACAGTGCTTTCCATCAGTAGAGCTCAAAAACATTTTACAAAAGAGTTATTATCATCACCACTTTGCAGATGGGGAAACTGAGGCACAGAGAGGTGAAGTGACATGCCCATGGTCACCCAGAAGACCAGTGGCAGAGCCAAAAAATAGAATCCAGGTCTCCCAAATCCCAATCCAGTGGTCTTTCTGATAGCCCACTCTGCCACTAGTTTACACTCACCTAATTTTTCTGTCTCCTGAGACCATACGTTCCTCTCATCAAAGCAGAAGATATTATGTAGACAGTTATGCATGGGGCACGTATAAGAACTCCTATTATAATAAACCGCAGATTTGAAAAAAAATCAGGGTTCAGAATAAATGAAGAAAGAGCTTTGGGGGTCTGCAGCTCAAGCAGTCTTACAATCTGAAAGGGATTTAAAATATACAGCATACAGATAGAGAAGCTGTCACCAAAACTGCTCCAGATGCGAAAGGCCTAGAGATGCAACTGCAACTATTAAATCGGAAGTTTCAAACATTTCGAGATGAATAGCGAAAGCCAACCCAGCACCACAACAATTGTAGGGCTGATCTTCAAATGCACAAATGTCCCTTGGGTGTCACACTTCTGGGGGCTTTCAATAGGAACTGGGCAGCTAACTGCCTTTTGTGCCTTTGAAAATCTCCCCCTACACGTGCTCATTGCTCCAAAACAGAAAAGAGGGAATCCAGTAAAAAACAGAATAGCAGCACTTGGCTTTTCAAACCTCTATTAATAAAAAACTGGAAACACGGCAGCATGGCCATGGGTGGTCACTAATTAAATAGAGAGGGCTACGCGTCTGCCTTGGCATTTCATGCCAGGCTTCGCAAAGCACTGCAGCCACACTTTTGTAGTTCCCGTCATCAGCAGACCCCCCCTGAAGCAAACTGCTGGCTTAACATTGAGCTGGAGAGGCTGTATTTTTATATGGACGAAAACCAGGCACAAAGCATTATTCTACTGTCGCACAAAAAATAAACTAGCCCTTTCCTGCAGCATATCATAAATTCAGCATGAATTGTTCTGCTACAGGTAGAAGTCTGACTCCCCACAGCTGCTTGAAATCTTCCGCTACAGAAGGGCAGGAAGAGCTGCTAAATCTATTGTTTGTCAACCATTCCCTATTTTGATGAAACAGGCCTGGATACTCACCCAGTGTTTCATCAGCTGCCTCTTAAATAAAGAAAACAATATATGACTCATGACCCAGGCAATCTTAACAGACTTTTTTTTTTTTTTAAACTTCACATTCCTAAACGAAACATGGTAGTAGAAGAAGTGCCAGCTATTCCAAACAGACCATCTTCAAATACCGGATCTACTAAACATATCAGAATCACTTCCAGTGAATTCATTTTCTTCCTTTATCATGACGTGTTGAGACTACCCAGGGGCCAGCAGATGCACTTGTTTTACACTGGATGCACACACCCAAATACTCATATAATTAAAACAGTGATTCACGTCCAGCACCTAAACAAAAAGGAGTCATGTTGTCACAAAGCATAGGCAGTAGGACTTCTGGTGTCACTATAAGCCCTGGACAAACTTGGGTGACTCACAGGCAATTACTGCTTCCAAGCATAAGATGGGTGATGAGAGAAGAAAAACAATCACTGGAAAATTAAAAATGAAGGGTCCAATCCCGCTAGCCCTCTGTTTACCAAACTCTCACAGTTTCACATGCGGCGGGCGAGCAGACTCAGGGCTAACATTTGAGACACATTTACTTTGCTTCGCAGTATGTGGATGTTCTTCAAATTATTCATTGGCTTTAAAGTAATGAAAAGTCCTCCCAATGACAGGTCTGTAACCAAATTGTCTTGGTTCAAACCACCAGCAGGAATGTATATGGGATGCAAGCGATGTTACATTAGAGTCAGAAAGAAGAGGATCCAACGTGAGGGAAGGTGTTCAAGGAAATCCATGCTATGTACAAGACTCAAAGCAACAGTCATACACATCGACCTCTGAAAAAGGTCTGTATTAAATGGCTATGCATAGAATCATAGAATATCAGAGTTGGAAGGGACCTCAGGAGGTCATCTAGTCCAACCCCCTGCTCAAAGCAGGACCAATTCCCAACTAAATCATCCCAGCCAAGGCTTTGTCAAGCCGGGCCTTAAAAACCTCCAAGGAAGGAGACTCCACCACCTTCCTAGGTAACGCGTTTCAGTGCTTCACCACCCTCCTAGTGAAATAGTGTTTCCTAATATCCAACCTAGACCTCCCCCACTGCAACTTGAGACCATTGCTCCTTGTTCTGTCATCTGCCACCATTGAGAACAGCCGAGTTCCATCCTCTTTGGAACCCCCTTTCCAAAGAGGATGGTAGTTGTAGGCTGCTATCAAATCCCCCTCATTCTTCTCTTCTGGAGACTAAACAATCCCAGTTCCCTCAGCCTCTCCTCATAAGTCATGCGCTCCAGACCCCTAATCATTTTTGTTGCCCTCCGCTGGACTCTTTCCAATTTTTCCACATCCTTCTTGTAGTGTGGGGCCCAAAACTGGACACAGTACTCCAGATGAGGCCTCACCAATGTCGAATAAAGGGGAACGATCACGGCCCTCGATCTGCTGGCAATGCCCCTACTTATACAGCCCAAAATGCCGTTAGCCTTCTTGGCAACAAGAGCACACTGTTGACTCTCATCCAGCTTCTCGTCCATTGTGACCCCTAGGTCCTTTTCTGCAGAACTGCTACCTAGCCATTCGGTCCCTAGTCTGTAGCTGTGCATGGGA